AAGACAACAAATCTCGCAGTTCTGATCTTGCACCGGGTAGGAGGGTAATATTTATCACACAAGGTTACCACTGAACCATTTCCTCCAGCAACTTCTACAGATTGTTCATAAAGAAGTGTCATTCTTGCCCTGGAAATTACACAGTAAGTGTGGAGGTTTGTGGTAAATCATAGCCAAACCCACCATAGCTTGTAATTAGTCTCTTGTATAGAGAGTATGCCTAAGCAGTTTGAAACAAATCTCCAATGATTTTGTACAGATCCTTTCCCAGCCTCATTGATACCAAACTCCATTGCATAGTCACTTTTTTTTTTAAAATAGAGACTCGAGGTAGTAAGAACTGCAGATGCTAGAGTCATATCTAACAGTGGTGTAAGCTGGAGGAACACAGCAGGCCAAGCAGCGGGAAAGTTGACATTTCAGGTCGGGACCCTTCTTCAGAAATGGGGAGAGGAAAGGGAGCTCAGAAATAAATACTGCATCCGTTGCGGCCTCCTCTACAATCGGTGAGACCAAGCAGAAGCTTGGAGACACTTTTGTCGAGCATTTGTGCTCAGTTCGTGAACCATTTTAACACCCCCTCCCACTCCCTTGGTGACATGTCCATCCTGGGCCTCCTCCAGTGTCACAACGATGCCACCCGCAAACTGGAGGAGCAGCACCTCATATTCTGCCTCAGGAGCCTACAGTTTCAAACTCTAACCTCCTGTCCCCCACCGTCATCCCATGACCAACCCTCCCTCTTATCCCCACTCCTTGATCTGACACAACCCGTCCATCTGCTCTCCCACCTAACTGACCAATCCCCACCACTCCCCTACCTGCACTCACCTGTCACCATCCCACCTACCTTCCTCAGCCTCACCCCTCCTATTTATTTCTGAGCTCCTTTCCCCCTCTCCCCATTTCTGAAGAAGGTTCCTGACATACAACATCAACTTTCCTGCTCCTCTGATGCTGGCTGGCCTGTGTTCCTCCAGCTCCACACTGTTATCCCTTTTTATAATACTTACTTACATTGAAGTAGTTGTTCAATTGAACATGTTGCTACAAAAATGGCATATGAAAGACTGGCATACTATACCATTCATCAATAATCTTTTTAATTCTTTCATGGAACAATTGGTAAGGCCAGCATTTGCACCCATCCCAAATGCCTCAAAAACGTGGTGGTGAGCTGTCTCCTTGAACCACATCTTCCTGATGTACCTGTATATTTACAGAGCTGACAGAAAGGAAGTTCCAGAATTTTGATCCAGTGACAGCAAAGGAATGGTAATATAACTGCAAGTCAGAATTGCGAAGGTGCTTGGAGGGTAACTCATTTTTTGTGGCGGTCTCATGCTTCTGTAGCCCACAGTATTTAGGGTTGCGGGTTTGGATGATATTGTTGATGGTGCATTGTAGAAGTTCATCAAGGCATCTCGTGTAGAATATACATGACTGCAACTGTGCAGTGGTGGAAGGACTGTTAAATCAAACAGACAGCTTTGTCCTGAGCTTAAAAGGTGTAGCAGTGCAGCTTGCAGGTTCCTCAGCCAGGAGCCCGGAACTAGTCTACTCCTTCTTCCCCCCCAACCTTTCTGCTTTTTCTTAATGTGTTTCCATTTATTATTTTACTTATTTTAACTTCTTCAGGTGGATGGCATCTTCCTCCAGCCTGGGCCCAGCAAAGTGGGTGCTTCCAGCCTGGCACAGCATTCTTTTATTGTAGTTGCTCATCCCAGAGGGATGGTCTCTGCTTGACATGGCAGTCTACTGGTTCAGAGGTCTTGTCCCAGCATGAAAGTCTCATCAGTGCGGAGGTCTTCTTTGGCAGTGGCTGCCGGCATTCCAGGGGCTGGGCATGGCGATCTCATCCAGTCCCAGCGTGGAGGTCTTGTATTTCAGCCTGGAGCAGCAGTCTCCTATTGTAGCAGCTTTGTCCTGGCATGTCAGTCTCCAAGTTTGATGGTCTTGTCCAGGTGTGGAAATCTTCTCCAGCAGCAGCTTCCAGGTATTTCAGCATTCATAGTCTTAAAAAAAAACAACTTTCCCTGAACTGAAACTGATCTCAGATGAACTCAAATATTTACCTTTTCTCTTTTGTAGGACTTCTGTCACTAGTACTGGTACCATAGTATGGCAACCTATAAAACGCAACATACAAAAACTTGTCACCTTTTTTGTAAAAATACACATGACAATAAACTGCTATTCTATTCTCAGTCAGTTCAGAGTAGGCACTATTTGCCTTGCAAGTCAAATACCAACTGCTGCCATCAGATCTTTACCAGGAACGAAGTGCTTCACACAATTAGTAGCAATGCAATGTAAAAATGAAGCTTTAATACGCTGCATGTGAGTTATGCACTGTACTAATCATCGGAGGGCTGAATATAATGCAAGCACCATAAATCAAATTGGCAGCAACATTGTGAACAAATGTAGATGAGCGGCTCAGCAGAATTTAGAAATTATTTCTGACTTGTAGACAAACAGCTGACAGAGAACACTGATGTTTTGTCAGTTAATTCACCCCAAATTTGGTAGTTTGAGTACAGCTCAGGGCCTTAGACATTTGGCCAGCGAAGCGCAAGTTAATTAAATGAGAATCTCCAGTCAAAAAGTTTAATGTTCTCTGCAGGGGTCACACACGAAGAATGTCTGTTTGGGTACAGTGCTCAAGTGGCTGGCAGTCATGACACCACTACTTAGTCCAAGAAAAGAAAAACTGAAACAAGAAAGAGGAAGGAGAAACAAATATATACTTATTTTCAGTGTTTAGTAATGGGAAAATGGCTTGGAAACTCATTTTGTAATGAAACTATTTTCCAGAAAACAAAAGCAACTACATCAGAATAGTATTGTTACGCATGCTAACTATAGAACAATAGTTCCAAATTCGTGGAACCAATGAAAGCCTTGCTGTAGAGATGACGCAAAATTACTAAAATACCATCCCCAGTTATATGCAAAGCAGGTAACAAGAAAAATAAAAAAAAACTTTTGCTTACATTTCTGCAAGAGTTTAAAGACTTTGAAAAATCAAATATATGCAAGGTCAATTTTTATATTCAGGTCACCTCACAATCCACATTTAGAGTTCTCTCTCTTGCCATCCAACAAAAACATTACTGGAGAAAAGAAATACTCCAGAAAGTAGAAAGCTGTCAAAACAAAGTATGGAATGATAAATAAAAGCCAAGAACAAGCTAAGGTTCATGAAACCAACAATGACAAGAAGTCAAAGCAAATTCTATTCAAATTTGCTGCTCTATGTACAGCACATGCAAGGGCCATTAAATGTTTAGATACACTGTATTCTTGCATCACTAAAAGTTGATAAAAAAAAAATTAGGCGACAGCGATTGCTTCACTGCTAGAAAACTGTCAATAAGTTATTCGCCTGTGGACATTAGAAATAAAACCACACTTCCCTTCTACAAATTCACGTTCACGTTTACGCTTTCTCGCTTTGAATTTTCCCGGAAACTGGCGACATTACAAAAACAATTTCTAAATGTTGTATCTATGTTAATATAAAAAAAGGTAAAGTCGCCAAAGTCCCAGGGGGGCATAGGACTGTTCTCAGAGACAGACAGAGAATGGTGATGGTTTAATCCCAGGGTCACTACGTCTCAGGCAAAGGGCGAAGTTGAGAACGTAGGTACTTAATAGTAATCGAACTTGTGTGGTTAGCGTTACTGTATTGCAAACTAGCCAACTGAGCTAACCGATGCCCAACTATTCATGTAGTACCCACATTTACGAATAGTTTATATCGCAGTTCCCTCTACAGCTCACCTTTTGGACCCTCCTTAAACTATCTACTGGTAAAATACTACATATTCGCCCCGCCGCGCCTATTTGAGGTAGTCATGTCTCAGAAGCAGCTAGACTCCTTTTTCAATTCAGATTCAACACAAAATGAAAGTCGCTCGAGTTTGCTGGTTTGAAACGCAGTTACTGACACTAATCTAGTAACACTTCACAAAATTAATACCCGCACGACATGCTACTTATCTAACATTCCCACTTCCTACACGTAGGTTAAGTAATTACAGCATACAAATTTAATACATAAAGTACAACACATTATTCCACTCGTACATAAAACTTTCACCTAAAAATGAAGTACCTTATTTCATATGCACAAGACGGTAGAGGAATCTGTCATATAATGTGCGCTGCTGCGCTTGGAGGTGCAAATTCACGCCTAGTGCGTAAAGCCTAAAATGTCAGGAAAGCCTAGACGCGTGTCTCCGTTCACGTGCTACGAACATTCTACTACATTACTTAAATTCACAGGCGAAACATGAAACTTGCAACCTGAATCCCGAGTACCGTCAGACTTTGTAGAACGGGGGGGGAGAACCCACTTGTTTTTGTCCCATTATCAAAGTTTACGAAACACGGCATGCAGGAACTTAACGAATATGATTTGCCCCTTAAACATCCGCAATACCATAAAATGCTACAAAATCCTGTATTACATACACCACGCTAAGTCCGCTCCAAGTATACCACTATCGCCAACTTTCAATGAAACATGAATCAACCGGACGGACATGCACATCCAGTGGAGATAAGAACAACGGTTGGTCCTTCAAAGATCAAACAAGATCATATGACAACACAACCGACAACACATTCAAAATATCCCGGAAACTGGGCTTGGCAAGGAAGGTACTCTTGAACAGACAGATCTCCAACAAAACACCAAAACCTTTACTGTAACGGGGAAATCTCGTGTAACTGCGGTTACATGTACCTACAGGACACACTGTTTATTTACATTCAGCCTCAATGTCTGTCTGACGCTGCAGCAGATATTCCGCCAGCAGCGGGAACAGTGGCACCAATCCCAGTCACTAACCCCTCACTCACCTCTCCTGCCCATCCCATTCCAGCAACCCCCCCCCGCAACACCCCTTTCCCCTCATGTTACGCTTCTACTCATTACAGTTAAACCGTTATCACAAACAATGAGGGAAGTTATCTGGCAACGCCTTCCTTACCTGAACGGAGGGCCTATATCCATAAGAATGGCCCCGGCCGAGCCCCCATATCCATATCCTGCTGGCCCGGCAGTGCCGCCGGATTGCGCGGGCTGCTCCGCTCCGGCCTGGGGCAGACACGGCTCCGGACTCGGCTCCTTCTCCACCGAGGCGTCGAAGTCGACACTCTTGACTTTGCGGAGGTGCTTTCTGCACAACGCGAGCTGCTTCTGGGCCGAGGCCGGCTCTTCACTCGGCTCCGAGCTCTTGTTGCCGCGGCTCCCGGTCCCGGTGTCCCCGGTAAACACCGTCCGGCTCCCGGTGCCCGCCGTCGCCATTTTGTCCTGTCTCAGTTCATGGGCCTCCTCCGCCGCCGCCCCCTGTCCTTCCCTCTCTGTCCCAGTGGGGGGATTGAGAGAGAGATGAGCGGCTTCTTCCTCCGTCCAGGAGATACAGCCGGGCGGAGTTCAGCCCCTCACCACACACACGGAGAGCCGCTCAGTCAATCAGCAGCCGTCCCGGGGCCGCACTCACATCCTCCTCCTCGGTCCCGCTCCGCCCCCTCACCTCTCCTCTCCGCCGCCGTTAAAGTGGATTACCGCCGGCCCAGCTCAGGGTGGTGAATAACATCTCTCTCCGGTTGTAGGTATGTATGGAAGGAGGGAAGCAGTGTTACCGGCTGCTGCACAGTACTGACACCAAACTTGGCCGTTTTTTTTCCTCACTCTCAAATGTGCAGCAGCAGCAGCGCGAGGAGGAGCGCGCGAGCCGCCGCTGCTCGCTGTGGGTCCGGCCCCATTCCTTATATGGACAAACTTCCCTCGAGATAGCCCCGGCTCCTCTCCTCATGTACAACTCGGCCGGACGCTGGAATCGATCGTGGAAAGTCTCCTCCTGGATATCACTCAATCACTTCTGGGGGTCGGATCGGGGCGGGGGGGAACACTTGGGTCTTATCCACTGAGCAGAAATCTCCAACGCAAAATCTATCATGCACCAAACGCTGACGATGACTGAGTTAATACATCTGTTTTCTGGTGGCGTGTCTGTCGATTTCAAATGTCATAATAGTGAAATGTCCCAACTTTTTATATGCAGAATGTCTTTAGGATGTGATACACTCCAACAGAAACAATGGTGGAAGCACAATCTTTACTAACGTTTCAAAAGATTTCCGTCCTAAAACACATTTCCCTTTGTTCTTTCTTCCTCCCTTTCCCTAATTCTGAACATGCGTAAAACCCGGTGTGTATGTTTCTAGTTTTGATGAAAGTTACCAACCTGAAAAGTTAAGACCTCTCCGTGGACTAGAACTTCCAGAATATTCTATTTATATTTTAGCGTGTTGCTTGAGATACAATTTGTTTTCCATTTATTAAATTTAGATTGTGTAGTTATGATTTGTAGGGATCCAAGATGAAATGCGATATGAAATAATTCAAAGCAAATCGTATAGGAAAACCACCGAGGTATGGAACTAAGCGGATAACTCCATCAGAGAGGCATATGGACTCTGTCTGCTTGTATGATGCCAGGTTTTTTTTCTATTTACTCGCACACTGTTTCCGCCTTTGCTTGCCCCAATGGGGAAGTCTCGGAAAGATTAACAGCCAACTGAACTTCTCCCCATTGCGTATAAGACGTAGAATGGAACACGCAGCCAGAGTTTCTCGCTTAGAAGCAGGACACTTCATTGAGCCACTAGGCCTCCATGCGATTTGAAGTAAAATTCTTGAAAAGATTGAAGGTAATGTTCACCTTTGTTGCAGAGATAGTAGGAACTGCAGATGCTGGAGAATCTGAGACAACAAGGTATATTTTTCTGAAATTTTTTTCTGAAGAAGAGTCTAGACCCAAAACGTCAGCTTTCCTGCTCCTCTGATGCTGCTTGGCCTGCTGTGTTCATCCAGCTCTACACCTTGTTGTCTCGATGTTCACCTTTGGTTGGGTGGCTTACCTGGTGGTTGTGGAGATCATCCCATCTGACACATTGCCACACAGGCAGCAAAAGTGAAAATTCTTCTAGGATTAACTTCCCTAAGAGTTAAGGGCAGAGTCATTGGAAGTAATTATTAGACAAGATATTTGTGAAGTAATTTTTGTTCCAAAGCAAATGAATGATTTGAATATATGCCCAGAAGGATTGAATTTTGAAGTTTGCAGACAATACTAAAAATATGATACATGTCTCCCTTTCTACAAGACAAAATGAGTTGTAATTGATTGATTGATTTATTGTCACATGTACAGAAGTACAGTGAAAAGCTTTGTTTAGGACCAGTACAGGCAGATCATAGTAAGCAAGGATGTACAGATCAAAGGTTGTTGAAAAAAGACTTAGACAGAGGCATACCAATTACATCGCACAGGGTGTGCACTCGGCAAGAACAATGTTAGCAAGATCAGCATTATTTGAGGCTAGAGAGTCCATTCATCAGTCTAATAATAGCCGGGAAGAAAATGTTCCTGAACCTGCTGGTGTGTGTGTGTACCAAAGAAGATTACAGATAGAATTTAATATCAGTTTAAGTGTGTGGTGCTACATTTGGTTTAAGAAACAATGGTAGTTATTATCTGATAGGAATTAGGCTTGCCTTGGAGCAAAGCAGAGGATTTGGGGCACAAGGTATTGGACAATAAAGACAGCACCTATGTTGCAAAATTTACAAAATAAAAACTTGGAATTTTAAATATTGAATCGGAAAAGATATAGAATATAAAAGCTGAAGGCAATCATGACCCATTTTAAAACATTGAGATCCCATTTAGTATACTTTGTGCACTATTAAATTTCACAGAATAGAACTGTCAAAAGCTTCATTGAAAATACAAGGCATAATACCAGAATGTTACATGGCATGAGGAAATGCAGATATAAAGGAAGATTAGAAAAACTGAAAACTTTTTCAATGAAATTATCCCGAACACAAAGAAATGTGATAGAAGTTTGCTAAAATGTGAAATGAATGGATAGAGGACAGGGAAGTAGCCTTTCCCAATTGTTGAGAAGTTTAGAATGTAATAAATATAAAGGATTTAACAGAACACAAAATAAGTTTCGTTAACAAAAACGGAAGTTACTGGAAAAGCTCAGCAGGTCTAGCAACCTCTGTGAAGAGGAATCAGAGTTAACATTTTGAGCCCAGTATCTCTTCTTCAGAACTCATGGTAGCTAGGAAAATGTTGGCTTATATGCAGAAGATTGGGTGGGAGGAGGTGGTAAGGAGTAAACGATAGGTGGGGATAATAGAGCCCAAAGAGAGAGAAACACAGTTGGACTGACAAAGGAGTGGATAACGATCTGGCTAGGAGGGTGAATAACTGTTAATGGAGACTGTTAGTGGCTAATAATAGGTAGTGTGTAATAAGGCCTGGTGTGTGGGGTTGGGGGCTAGGACATGGGAGAGTTCAGGCCTTAAAATTATTGAACTTTATGTTGAGTCCGGAAGGCTGCAGGGTCCCTAAGCAGAAAATGAGGTGTTGTTTTTCCAGCCTGAGCTGAGCTTTGCCGAACACTGCAGCGAGCCTGAGACAGAGATGTTGGCCAGGGAGCAGGGTGGTGTGTTAAAGTGGCAGGCAACCTCCCCAGCACCGTTCTCCACAGGGCTCTCAAGTGGGTCTGACCCCTCTCCCGCACTTCCGCCTTCACACCCTCTCTTCACTCCCGCAACAGCGATAGGGTTCCCCTTGTCCTTACCTACCATTCCACCAGCATCCTCTTGCAGAAGGTCATCAGCTGCCATTCTGCCACCTCCAGTGAGTCACGTATTCCCCTCCCCTCCCTTGTCTGCCTTCTGCAGGGACTGTTCCCTCTGGGACAACATGGTCCACTCTTCCTTCACCCCCAACACCACCCCCTCTCCAGCCCCATGGCACCTTCCCCTGCAATCACCCAAGGTGTAACAGCTGCCCATTTACCTCCTCCCTCCTCAGTATCCAAAGGCCCGAACATACCTTCCAGGTGAAACAGCACATTACCTGCGCTGCTCACAATCTAGTCTACTGCATTCACTGCTCACAATGTGGTCTCCTCTACATTGGGGAAACAAGGCATAGACTGGGTGACTGCTTCACAGAACACCTACGTTCTGCCTGCAAAAATGACACTGAGCTTCCAGTTGCCTGCCACTTTAATACACCACCCTGTTCCCTGGCCAACATCTCTGTCTCACGCTCGCTGCAGTGTTCCAGTTAATCTCAGCACAAACTGGAAGAACAACACCTCATTTTCCACTTGGAGACCCTGCAGCCCTTTGGACTCACTTTCGAGTTCAATAATTTTAGAGCCTGAACTCTCCCATGTCCTACATCCCAACCCCACACACCAGGCCTTGTTATCACATAGTCTCTCATTACACAGTATCTATTGTTAACCATTAACAGTCTCCATTAACAGCTATTCACTCTCCTAGCCAGGTCATTATCCACTCTTTTGTCTATCCAACTGTTCTTCTCTCTCCTTGGGCTGTAACCCCACTTATCGCTTCCTCCTTATCCCTTCCCCCAACCCTATCTTCTGCATATAGTCCGACATTTTCCTCGCTACCATGAGTTCTGAGGAAGGATTACCAGATCCGAAACGTTAACTCTGATTTCTCTTCACAGATGCTGCCAGACTTGTTGAGCTTTTCCAGCAACTTCTGTTTTTGTTTCTGATTTACATATACGCAGTTCTTTCGGTATTTATTTAGAAGTTTATTTCAGTTGTTTATGGGCCTGAAAGGGTTAAAATGATCAAGTGCAATTAGCACCACCCACTGTAGTGATATCATGAGGCTTGGAAGAGAGTCATTAAGGATCTTGAAGGAGTCAGAGCAAAGACCAGATCCTCTTATTCTCGTAATGTGTAAATAGTTGCACAGATGCAACAATTTATATCTTGATTACTACAAGATACTCTTTTTGTTAGACCAGAAGGTGGCTATCGTATCCATATTCAACCATGTGGACCTTGAGAAACATATAGCATAACATAAGGTATTGGCAGTACATGGAACATTTTACACATTGGGAAACTCTCCTACAGGGTTTGTGATCAAAAAAGAAACAACGTCAACATTTAAGATTACATTGGATAGATATGGGAAAAGAGATATGTGAGCTTGCGTGAAAGATAGCTGAGAACTGTTTGCTTGGATGGAGGATAAGTGTCAGATTCTGTTTGGGAAAATGTGCCGGGTTGTAACTTCTATACATCAGTAATATTAACCAGTTTTGAGTTGTTAATTACAGAAATTTTGTTAGAATCATGTAATTGAATCTTCGTTTACTAATAATAAAAACATGCTCATTGTTAAGTGAAAATGGCTAAATATTTGAGCAAACTGCACAAGATGAAATATATGTCAACATTCTCCCTCATTCTTTATCCTTCACATAGAATACAATGAGATCATTACCTAGCAGGAGTCATCAAAATAATGGGATAATGTTCCTTTCAGAGTAATACGTTTATTATACCTTGTCAGATTTCAAAAATATCTCAAAGTAATTCACAATTATTTTGAAGGCAATGAAGTGCAGTGAGTATCTTAGTCATTTGTTTGTTGTAATATTTCATACATAGCAAGAAAATTATAAATAACGAGGTGCTGTTTGCTGGTTGTGTTGGAGAGAGGAATATTGGTTATGTTATTTCCTATGATC